TTTGCTTTATCGTCCATCTTCACTACCAAACTCTTACTTCCTCGGTGACGAAGATGCAACATCGTCCCCATATAGAAATTGGGCGCGAAGAGGTGCATCAGGTGGCGAAGAGAGATCCCGCGGCCGGCCAATTCCACGTACTTCATCAACATGCGGATGAGTTTGTAGATGTAAGGTGAAAGCTGGGCCGGGCAGACGCTGTAGTAGCGACAAAATTCCTCCGCCAATGGGAGAAGGGGAAATGAGTAGCCCACGTAGAACGGATATGCGTAGAATGCGCAGTATCCAGGGCGATGAACCTGCACCGCATCATGACTAGCCGGGACTAGATCGATGTGGGCCGGAATTTTGAACTTCGCCCTGAAATTAGCAAGGGCAACCACGTCCATCACCGATCGGTGGCCTCAGGGTCGTCCTCAGGCGGTTTTGAAAAGTCAGATCTAGCCTTCTCGTTACGGGAAATTATTTCCTCCACCATAGGAAAGCTTTCATCCTCCTCAACAATGGAAACCCCATCGTCATGGGGAGGCATGCGCACTGCCAAGGGAACAGGGTCAGGTATCCCCCCCCCCCCCCCCCCCAGAACTGGAAGACGCATTAACCATCATTGTTTATGAATAAAGGTGATGTAAACATAGAAGAGTCAAGAGTAGCAGGAGCCACCAGAATAAGTGAAAGCAAGAATATGGAAGTAAGATCAAAAGAACAAGGATTCTGAATGAGAAAGGAGGAAGAAGTATGATGGTTCAATATTTAGATTGCAAAGAGTAAGGCAAAGGATTTTGTATCCCTATTTATAAGAGTTCAGGCATCAATATCGAGAAAGCAAACCGTTGTTACCCAGCTCAGGAATCGAAGTGGCAGAGGCACGAGAAACGATGCAAAGTATCGGGAAAATACGTAATAATGACGTATGTTGACATGACGTCACTCTGAAATGACGTGACCCTGGATTGCGACTCACGGAAGGCTACGTCTCCATCCCGTCTGAAATGCTACTACTCAACCTGCTCATCTAAACTTCTCAACCATAACCAACAGAGTCCGCTCATCGAGGTCGCCCAGGGTCGACATCAATAAGCGGAGGGACTAACTGTATAGGTCAAAATGTGCCTCAATGAGATTTAGCGTGGAGTGGTATTATGGAAGGTGATGTGGCCGAGGTCGACTAGTGGATAGCGGGGCTTGTAGCCGGGCGGTCAATAACGGTCGAGGTCAAGTACCAAGGACGGTACTAATGATTAGTTTTTGTAATAGGATATTTAAGGGAATATTTCACTGAATATTCTATGTACTGGTATTTTTAGGGTTGACTGGGGATAAGTCCCATATAAATAGAAAAAGAGACAAGGGGAAAGGGTATGTAATATTTTTTTTCTCATAAGAGCACTTTTTAAAAAGAAGACTCTCTCGAGAAAAGATACAAACATTACATTTCTAATAAGATTCCACCATCCATTATTCCAGACTTTTCCATCAGATTTGAGAATAGTTCAAATATTCTAGGATTTATCTATCATTCATCATTGTTAGAAAGAAGAATCATCCACCTCATTCGATATTGGATGAATCATTCTCCTAATTTACGTTAATGCCATTTATGGTTATTTATTGCTTGATATTCTTCTATTATTACTCCTCTTGAAATATTGAATGTACACTGTATTTAATCCCCCACCAACACTACCCTACGTTATTTGTGTTAGCTAGTTATAAATCTAGGGATATTATTATCAATTAGGCTTAATCCCTCATTACATAAAATTAATTAGTTTAATCAAAGATTTACACGTTTTGGTCAAACACATGGACCAAGTAATCAGTGTACCAACAGTAGCATGACTTGCACTCTAGCTCATTATCATCCGCAGCAGAAGAGGTCCAATCATCACTGCAGCCTATATCTTCAATCTGAATGAGAAACCTCTTAATTGGATCATTGTGGAGATCCCAAGCTTCAAGCTCCTTATCTTGGGTGAGAGCAAAAACAAGTTTCTTTCCACTGTGGAACACAATTTGAGTGTACTCGCGTAAGGGACCGTCGAGTGCAGTCCACGAATTGGCTTCAGCTATGCCAGGCCTCCTGCAGAATGCGAGTCGCTGGTGGGGCCCATAAATAACCAATGCTATGCAGTCCTCTTCCATAGGATCAGGGGATGAAAGGATCATCTTTTTGACAATGTATGAAGACATACGTTGTGTGGTTAAGGGAATAGATTGGTGGTTAAGAAAGCATTCGACTCTGACACTGTTCCGAATAACGCCGTTAACACAGGGGAAAGTTTCAATGGATGGAAGCTGGATAGTCTTACCAGAAAGTGGGTTAAACATGAAGAGAAGACAATCTTTAGGCTGTATACAAACAAGCCATCCCTTGGATAATGAACCCAAGCAAACGGAATCAATATCAGGCATCATCACTTACTGCTCATGTTGTACTTGTATGACATCCCCTTCTGCCAGTCTGTAGAATTTGAAGACGGTGCTGTCCTCCTTAAACACCGGCAATAGCATCAACCAAGGAGCCACACATCTGCTCACCACAGGACCACTACAACTTCTAATCAGTACTTCACTAATTTGCCCTCTCATTATTTCCTTTGGAACAGAAGTTCTGACCACCAAGGAAGAGCTAGCCATGATTGAATTCGACACAAGAACCTCCAAAACGTATTTTTAGATCAAGAATCGGTTTGCTTTTAGATACAGTAATCCAAAGTCTGCCAGGTTTCGACTTGCTTTCTGTCGGCTCTCACTTTTACGGAAAAATGTGTTTAAGGGCTGGGCCCGTTTGAAATTAAAAAAAAATTCCATATATTTTATTTTTGAAAATTTACTTTTTTTTTTTTGAAATTTGAAAAACTCCAAAAAATTATTTTTTAAAATTTTTACTTTAAATTACTTAGTAGGCGTTTGGACATAAGAATTATAATTTTTTAGAAAAAGCAGCATTTGAAGATAAGTTGAAAAAGTATTTGGAATTTAAAATTATATTTGGACATGCATTTCACTTGAAAAAAATATTACAATTTTGTGAGTGGAGAATTTTTTTTTTGAAAATTGGGAAAAAGGTTTTTTGAAAAACTCTTGCAAAATTTCTTGGACAAACACATTTTTGAAAAAGAAAATAATAAAAAAATAATTATGTACAAACGGGTCTTTAAAAAAAATTCAAAAACATATCCAAATTGTATTCATGTCCAAATACAACTCTAATTTTTAAATACCATTTTCACTTGAAATTTTTTTGTTTACTTTTTTTCCGGAATTTTACAATTCTTATATCCAAACGACAACAGGTTGGTTAATCAAGGGTGGTCGGGGGCAAACAACAACAACAATAAACCCATTTTGATCCTATAAGTGGGGTCTGAGGAGGGTAGTGTGTACGCAGATCTTACCCCTACCTCTCAAAGATAGAGAGGTTGTTTCCGATAGATCCTCAGTTTAAGAAACAATGAAAATAAAGCACCAAGTAGTAAAGAATGTTAGCAACAATGTAACATAGTAACGTGTGTGAATGCCGCAACATGCGCAATAAAAAACCGTAAATAAAAAATTACAAAAATAGTCCTAGGACTATTGAATGGTTGGGGGCCAAATTAAAAAATAAGAAAATTTTGGGGTAAAATTTAAAAAACTAAAAAATAAGTTAACCCATCACCCAAAATAGTTCCCCACCTATCCCATTCTCTATTTTCTCTTTCTTTATTTTTCATGATCTTCCTCCCCTTTCTCTCAAACTCAACCTCCAAAATCAGTTTTCTCACGATTTGGGGCTCCAAATATCGGCTCCATTTCTACTCAACTTCGTTCAAAACTTTCGAAATTCCATCATCAAGGTAATTTTTATTTTATTTTTCTACCCCATTGATGAATCCTAAACTTATTATTTCAACTTCTATAGATTCTTTTATTTTTCTTGGTGCTTTTGTATCTTCATGTCGTTGTGTAGTTTCGTGCTTAAATTTTAGAGCTGTCGTGTAGTTGATATTTTTGACTGAAAATTTGGTATTTATATATTGTTGATGAGATTGTTCCACAGACCTAGAAATCTAGTTGTTGTGATGTTAAAATGGCTATATTGCTCCATGTTTGGGTCTGCGGAACGATTTTTGTCCATTTGTTTCAAACATCTCATTTGAATTTTTGAAACATCTTAAGAGATTGTTAAACATCTATGTTGTTATTGTTGTTGTTATATGTTTCAATTATTGCAATGTTTTTCTGAGTTTGGTTAGTGGTATTTTGCGCTGATATTTCAAACATCTCATTGGATTATTTGAAACATCTTAAATATGGTTGAAATATCCTTCTTGTAAATAACTCATTGATTGTAAAATATCTTCAGAGATGTTTCAAACATCTAATTAGATGTTTGAAGCTTCATATAAGATGTTGAAACAACTGTAAGGATGTTTAATAATCCAAAAAATATTTCACCAAAGGATACCTGATTATTTATAGAGTTAATGTTTTATGTGTTTGGAGTAAATTATTTATTTACTTGTTGATGGTTGTTACTTGTTTGAGTGTGTAGATAAAATGATAAAGGAATGTGTTCCAAAAAAGGAGGAAGAGGAAGAGGAATAGGAAGAGGTGACTCTCCTTCTAAAAAATCTAGCAAAAAAATTAGGACATCATAGGAAAATGAGATACAATAATCAATTCTTATTATAGCTGAAGTAGAAGTTACACATCTTCAGGTAGTAGTAGTAGGAGGACAGAATAATCAGGTAGAAGGAAACACTGCTACTGAAGTAGTAAAGGAGAGAATATTGAAGAAGAGGAAAAAAGAGAAAGAAGAGGATAATGAAAAAGAAAAAGAAGAGGAAAGAAGAAAGAAGAGGATAAGGAGAGAGAAAAAGAAGTGGATAAAGAGAAAAGGAAATAGAGAAAGAAATAGAAGAGGAGACAAAAGTTGATGATGAAAAATCAAAAGAGGAGACAACGATCGTTGAAGGAGAAGAAAGAAACGAGGAGACAAATATTGATGATGAAGAATCATAAGAGAAAATAGTAACTGTTGAAGGAGAAGAAATAGAAGAGGAGACCTCTGGAGATGAAGATCTTATGTTGAAACCAAGACAAGAAGAAGCTTCAAGAGAAGAAGAAGAAGAAGAAGAGGCAGAGGCAGAAAGAAGAAAAAAGAAAATGAATGACAATGCACCTTCTCAATCTGTTAAGGTAAGCTCAATATGTTTAAAACATCTCTCTGGATGTTTGAAACATCTCTCTGGATGTTTGAAATTCTCCTTGGAAGTTTAAAACATCTAGTTGGATGTATAAATTATCTATCTGGATTTTTGAAACATTTCATAGGATGTTTCACTAAAAAAAAGTTGGAAATAGATTTTAATAATTATTAAATTTATTATTCTTGTGCCTTTTATTAATCAACATTTTAAAATCATATAAAGATTGAGATGCCTAAAGATGAGTTTGATAGTTGCGAGGTTGAAATCTTAAGGCTTTGGCCGGAACTTCCACCGTTCAAGTTCAAGATATTTTTGGATGATAATGAGACCTTCATCAAGAACATCACAGTAAGATTCTCATTAGGATTAACGAGTATGGGTGAGTTCAGAAAGTTGTAGCAGGATGAGGGCCTTGAAAATAAGTTTAGGACTAGTCCTTTCAGGCACTTTTAGATGTGCCTCAGAGGCCAATATTTTAGGCATCTATATTACAGTAGAGTATTGTAGGAGAAGACCCAGGATTTATGGGTTAATTACAAAAGATTACCAGTCCGCTTTGGACTTTGTGAGTTTGCCATAACAATCGAACTCAACTGTAGACATTCTTACCCTAATTTGAAGATTGAAAAGTACTTTCTTGATGATGAAGATTTATCAAAACTTATACCAAAGGAAAGAGATCTGTGACTGGTAAACTTGTTTGACTTAATCAAATCCAAATCCAAAAAAATTTAAAAACATAAATATGCACTATGCTTGATTTGGTTAGTTCACTACATTTTGTTAGAAAAGGAACTGAACTGTGGTGTGTCTGAAGATACAGTCAGACTGGCTTCCACAAAAGAGGCTTTCTACATTTATCCATGGGGCAAAAATATTTTTCACTTGTCTGTTGATTATATTATGAAAGATAAGAAAGAGCGTCAACAATCAAAGAGTAACTCTTATTAACCTCTACGGATTTCCTTAAACTTTCATGGTAACTAGATAAATCTTGTTTATTATTTTTACTTTTGTGTTATTTATATAACCTTCTATATACTGTTTGATCACACAATGTAGGCTTGGACGTTTGAAGCCTTACCTCAATTACGGCCAAACGATTATCCAAAAGAGAGGACTTTGCCGAGGATGAAGAGGTGGTTATTTGAAAAAGTAGAAAAAGACAGGCTCGATCCATTTCAGATCAAAGATGATCCGGTACGACTCATTCTGGTGTATGTTTCAAAGATGTTTGAAACATCTTTCAAACATCCTGTAAATGCTTGGAACATTTTGTAGAAAGTGTTTTAAACATCTAATGGATGTTTCAAGCATGCCTTTAATATCTATGCTTATAAATCTTTTTGTTTCCTTCCCAGGTGGTGTGCCCTTTTCTTTACCCTACAAAGGCTGAAAAGAGGGAGGCTTACATCCAAAATCTTATTATTTTACCAGATAAAGAGACATGATAATAGATAGCCTAAATAAAGGGTTGGATAGAGTGACAGTCTTAAGACCTTTGGGTAGTGCCCTTAAGATAGAGAAAGGTAGTTTGCAAACCCTATAAATTAGATATAGCCATGTGGTTAAATAATATAATGGTACATGAAAAACATCTATTGGTGGAGATGGTAGAATAAGAGGAGAAGCTATTCGTGACGATGTGTCCCAACAGTAGCATGACTTGCACTCTAGCTCAGTGTCATCCGCAGCAGAAGAGGGCTAATCATCACTGCAGCCTATATCTTCAATCTGGATGAGAAACCTCTTAGTTGGATCATTGTGGAGATCCCAAGCTTCAAGCTCCTTATCTTGGGTGAGAGCAAAAAATAGTTTCTTTCCATTGTGGAATACAATTTGACTGTACTCGCGTAAGGGACCGTCGAGTGCAGTCCACGAATTGGCTTCAGCTATGCCAGGCCTCCTGCAGAATGCGAGTCGCTGGTGTGGCCCGTAAATGACCAACGCTATGCAGTCCTCTTCCATAGGATCAGGGGATGAAAGGATCATCTTTTCGACAATGTATGAAGACATACGTTGTGGGGTTAAGGGAATAGATTGGTGGTTAAGAAAGCATTCGACTCTGATACTATTCTGAATAACGCCGTTAACACAGGGGAAAGTTTCAATGGATGGAAGCTGGATAGTCTTACCAGAAAGTGGGTTAAACATGAAGAGAAGACAATCTTTAGGCTGTATACAAACAAGCCATCCCTTGGATAATGAACCCAAGCAAACGGAATCAATATCAGGCATCATCACTTGCTGCTCATGTTGTACTTGTATGACATACCCTTCTGCCAGTCTGTAGAATTTGAAGACGGTGCTGTCCTCCTTAAACTCCGGCAGTAGCATCAACCATGGACTGCTGCTCACCTTAGGACTACTGCAACTTCCATCAAAAGAATCACTAATTTGAGGAACAGAACTAGGTCGGTATGTATACATCTAAGAATCCAAATATAGTAGGTATTAGTTTCTGGACACATTGTTGCACGTGAGTCCCTGCAAGTAGTACAAACGATTTTTTCCTATCTAATTTTTGCAATATATGATCTGTGATATATCCTTTTACATTAAATCATACTATTAAAGGATTTATAAGAGTCTTTCATATTAGCAGAAACAAAGGGAACTTCTTAATAGCAAAAATCAAGCAGTAAAAGAATTAACCGAATTCTACGAAGACTTTTTTAGATAAAAAAGAATATTTGAGTCTAAACAAACAAAAAATAAAATATTAAAATTCACAAACCGATTTACAAAGTATTTCCCACATTTCAAGGAAAAGCAAAAGAACATAAAATTTACTAACAAAAAAAAATAGAAACTTGAAAAGACATACATCAAGACAAAAAGTTCCACATAGTGACATCAAAACCAACAAAATTCACAAAAAAATCAAAATAATTATAACAAACTTTCAAGACTAAACCGACATAACATAAAATTTAAGTAAGAAAATTGGGACTTGAAAGGGGAAAAAACTAAAGAACAGAAAAGAGCATACCGTCTACTTCAAAAGAAACAAAGAACATAAAGGACTTGACCATGACCCTTTTTAATTCCACTGATTCAATACAAATAATGAGACTATAATAGTGTCTTTTCATTTGCTCTCAAGTTTAGACAACTGACTTTCAAAATAAAATGAAGTACCCGAGAGACAATGAAAGGTCGTTGTTCCTTGTAATTCTCATTTATTCAACATAAATTGTAGGATTATAGAGTAATAATAGTAGTTTTTTCATTTACTATTTAAGGTACTTATTCTTAAAATGCATACTTCTTCAAAGACTACATTAATGATAGGTACGAAACAGACTATGTTGCATCAGTTTCTGTTATTTATCATGAAATGTATTTTGATTTGCTGTACAGTAATATCAATAGCTTAATTACTTATTTAATGGAATACATTGTTATCCTCTTTACTATATGCTCCATATATAATCACACGCACGTTTCATAATACATCAGTAGTTAATGCTCAAATTTATTATAAAATATTTATTTTTAGTGGGGTAACACTTATTAGAATATATAGTTACATTTTTGTACAAAAAACATAACAAGAATAGCATTTGAATGAAGGGCAAAATGGTCGATCAATTTGTGATGGATATTTTTGTCTTTTACCTTAGATTTAATGGCTTCACACTTATAATATAGTATGATAATTTATGGGTTACGCTACAACCTGTAGGTTTTGGTTTTGCTTTAGTTATTTCTTGTTTAATTTTATGTGACATACTTCCTTTAGTTTGTTTTTTTTTCTTTTCAATTATCAAAAGGAATGAAATATTTCAATATTTCAAAATATTTTATAACCACAAAAATATTATTGCATGTTTACCTGTCTTATCGAGGGTCCACTTTAATACCAGAAAGAAAATACAATATTGGCATCCACCATCAACTTGCATACATGCCAAGTAAATCATATGTCCTTAGAGTTACTGATGTTTCGCCAAAAATACATATATTTAACTGTTGTTGCCTCATATTCTAGTACTTTTAATCATTTCTTGAGTATTAATTATATTACATTGTGCTTAATATTATATTTTAAATGTTTAGGAATAAAGCGGTGTGAAGATGAAGAGATTTGGAGACAAAAAAGGAAAATAAGCAACAATGAAGCTTCTAATTCAACGAAGGATTTGAATGTGAAAACGCACTGGATTCAGCGCTAAGGCCGACGTGACGCGTTGGTCTGGTCACTCTGGTGCGGGATTTTTCCTATTTCGTCCGGAACAAGGTTATTTCGCCCCTACACGGCCCCAACTCGTATAAAAGGGGTTCTAAACCTAATTTGGAGGAGATCTAACATACTTTGAAGGAGAATTCACGTGGAGGAACACACACCACTCTTTGGAGGAGGCTTCTAACTAGTTTTTCTTCTCTTCTCTTCTTTTAATCTTATATTTTATTAGTTCTAGAGTTTTGAGTGCTGCATGAACGTTGTAGTTTGAAGCTTGAATTGTTCTTATTATTTTATCATATTGGTTTATTTAGTCAATCTTGCATTTAATTATTTGATTGCTTGATCACCAATTGAATACTATCTACGAATTTAGGATTGAACTCGGGAGAGGGAATTCTAGATTGCATATAAGATTGAGTAGAGCGAGATCTTGAACTGGAGCATCGGGAACAGATTTGCGGTTAGGATAGGGATATACCTAATCGTCTTGCTTGGTTATTATACGGGAATTATAAATGCGTTTTTGTTAATCCTAATTCCATAGGAATATAGGCGTTAGGTTAGCTTGAATATGCGAGTAGTACTTCGGAAGAAGGCTACAAGCAATATTAACCATGTCGGCCAATAAACCAGATAAATTAATTAGACGATTTAAGTGAAAAACTCAACAGGATTGTTAGCCAACTCATATCTTTAGAATATTGTCTCCCATTGAATTCGTCTTTAAAATTTAGCCAACTTGTTCATTTAATCTCTTAGTTTATTACTCTAGATTAGTTTTATTAAATATTTATACTTTAGAAAAGTGCTTGAATCGATTAATTATCTTAGTTTAATTTAGTAAATAGTTAATCACAAGTCCCTGTGGATACGATATCTGGACTTACAATCCTATATTACTTGTCGACCACGTATACTTGCATATTACGAATCATATAAAAAATTGTTACCTTCCAACATATTCATATGGGGTCTTACAAGGACGAGACATTTTTTTTTATAAATTCTTGCTACAAAGCTATAACCAAAACTTCACATCCTGAAAATCTCCGAGGTTTTAGGCCTTTTTGGTCTTTTATAATGTTGAGTTTAAGAAAATGTCTTTTTTAGATCTCTTACGTATAAAAGAAAGATCTCTTACGTGTAAAAGTAAATCTCCCATGTGTAAAAAAAAAAAAAGAGGTAGGATCATAAAACTAAAAACAAGTTTGTAAAAGGCCAAAAAATCAATTGACCCGAAAATCTCCATGGTTGGATTTGGCGTCTCCAATTTCTTAAAAAACTAAGACTTTCCACTGGTTAAGTAGTCACAACAGATTTCTCATAAATGCATACCTACATAGACTTGGGATTTCTACCTCGGCTGTATGCCCCATTTGTCAACAAGCACCTGAAACCATTAGTCATATCTTCATTAATTGTCCCAGCGCCAAATACTGCTGGAACGCTATGCATTTGCTGCCTTTATTTAATAGATAATCTAGTTATTGATGAAACCAACATTATTTCATGCTTGGCTTAGGAGCCTCATTCAAAAATACATCATACTATCCCTTGCAATAAGCTCATTCCTTTCACACAATGGCATCTTTGGCTCACTCGTGATAAAAAGTATTTCGAAAATAGAAACCTCCTCGCACAACCCGACACCATCTACCAATTAATTAGTCACAGAATACTTTTACCTTGCAAGTCACAATAAAAATCAAAAGACTAAAATTGCTATGTATGTAAAATGGGAACCTCCACAAGTACAGCAGGGTACTTTCAAATTAAACACTGATGGGGCACTTCGGAAATCAGAAGGATTGGCAGGTCTTGAGGAGTCTTTTGTGATGCCTACGGTAACTGAGTAATGGGATATGCAACAAGACAAGAAGCAACAAATGCAATTACTTTAGAAATACTTGCTTTACTAAGGGGTGTTGCAACTTGCAGTCCACCATTATCTTACACCTCTTGAAATTAACATCGATGCTCAAGAGGTAATAATCATGCTTCATAATCTCTATTGTATACTCACACATGTTAAATGACTGCAAATTCCTGATCCACCAACTGAATGATCCGGCAGTGATACATACATACAAGGAGCAAAACCAGGTTGCAGATCGACTGGCTCATTTTGGATAGGAACTCACGGGCAGCAACATCACTTTGTTTGCACAACCACCTCCTTTTGTTTTGGAAGCTGTATCAGTTGGGCTATCGTAGGCTCAAATATGTTTGTAGTAACGATATACCTGTGACAGAGCTTATGCATCTCTTTTGTCCTTCATCACAGGATCCTACTTCTAGTAGCTTAAGGAATCTCATCTTTTTACAGATTCTAACAGGAATCTTAGTAGTAGTAGTAATGTAAAGAGGCAATCTATTCCCTGTACCTCTTTCATAGGTTAACATAAGTTGGTCTTTTATAACCCAAAAAAATAAATAAGTTTCAATTTTTTTTCTTAATCCATTTAAACATATTCCCATGAAATGAAACGGGAACGAAAGGAATACTTTATTTGCTTTTAGTTTCTACTTAGGTTTCGGCATGCTTACCTCCTTTATTAGATACACCACTATAGCTTTTCAATAAAGGGAATGTTTTTAGCTAAGAATCAAATGCTTCTTTGTTTAGTTCCATTATTACCTCGTGTAATATAAAAATCCTCCAAATATCATGCATAATTTAGGGAAAGTTACATAATAAAATAGTCAAATACAATCATCCTTTTCTATAACAGCCTTATATATTCCGATATTTTTTGACTTTTTTAGTGAATAACTGTTATACATTTGACGTTTAAATATTTTTTGGCTGTTATAGATAAAGATTATCCAAAATCAATTATTTTTCCTTTTTTAATTTTACATATCTTAAGAAAATTATTCAAATTTAAAAACTCAAAGATATGTATATTTCACTAGTTAAATATTGGAGAAAGCTAATAGATTATTAATAAATTCATAACTAAACGTATAAAGATTTAAACTCTAAGACATACATTTTAAAGCTACCTAAAAAAATAAATTCTTTCAAGATTAATGGAAGAACTTTGTAATTGTAGCTTGTTTCGTAGGTTTCATTCTCTTAGTAGCGATATAACACTTGAATTGGCGAAAGTTCATATCCAAATTTTCAGCAAAAAGGTATCCAATAGCTTTCCCTTGAAGACAATCTAACAGCTTAACAGTTAAATTTTCTATCTAAATATTTTTCAAATTTATCCAATGGAAAAAATATCATGTGCAA